TCAAAACTACATATTTTTCCTCTTTACCTATTGAGATTAAGACACAGACCTTGTTGTGAGTATCATGAAGGGACTTTTTTTTCTTTCAACCATAGTTGCTACACAGCTGCTCTCAACAAGGTCCGTTTGTTATTGTGAGTATATTTTTAGCGCTTTGGGCACCACAAGCCCAGCACCGTATAGTCCCATTAGATTGGAGAGAAGGCAGACATCTCTACGGCCGATATCTCCAACATTAGGTAACTCACATTAAAACAATCTAGAAGGATGAATAGCACTGCAGGAGTGAACTGTCCCTATAAGATACTGGCAGCCTTCAAGCCCTTATTAACATGTTTGTTTGCTTGTCCACAGAGGGCCTATAAGCAGTATGTTCTGGAGTGCTCTGTCCAGTACAAGGTGGACAGGATGCCGTATTCAATTCTTCCCAAGTTCAAGCCATCAGGATCCAAAAAGGTAACTTCCTCCGGTTTATTTTTATTTTTACATGGAGATGTCTGTGAAAGGTCTGCGGAGGCTCATCTGGTCGCTGTGGTTTCCTGTGGTTCAGGTGGTGACAGCTGTGATGTGGAACAAGCCGGACAGTCCGTTCCCTGTTCCAGTGTGGATCATCATCCTGGCTGTTCTAGCTGGGTTGTTATTACTCGCCCTGCTCATATATCTGCTCTACAAGGTAATGCGTCGATAAAGATATGTTTCTGACTGGTTGGGATTTGTTCAAATTTAAAATCAGGACACCTCAGGTACAGTTTAAAAGGGGGTTAGTTGGTGTTACTACAGGGACCAAATGACACAGGTCTACAGGTCTACGGAGCACCATTTCAATAGATAAAGAGACGCAAAAACACTACAAAAAGATACAAAACCACTACAGAGACATGCAAACCCCAACTAAAAAGAAACGCATAACGACTGCAGATGACAAATAAAATGACCACAGAGACATAAAAACGAAATTAAGACTCACCAAACGACCACAAAGAGACACAACTCAACTACAAAAAGACAAAACGACTGCAAAGAGACACAACACAACTACAAAAAGAGATGCAAAATGATTGCAAAGACAGACAAAACAAAAAGAGATGCAAAAACCCCATAAAATGACAAACAATGTCCACAAAGAGATGCAAACAGACCAGAAAGAGACAAATACTGTCCACAAAGAGAGCGCAAAACATCTGCATAGAAAGAGACACAAAACAACTACAGAACGACTACAAAAAAATCTAAGTGGCCTTGTTCCAAGTGTCTTGCTCCAGCACGATGATGTACATATTTAACAATGTCTTGATAAAATATGTTTTAGCTCAAAAAGAGTTGAATTTGATAGAAACAAACTTATTTCCAGGCCACGGTGGACCAACATCACAAATGCTTTTTCTATGAAGAAAACTGAACTGTACAACTTGTTACGTAAAGAAGAGTGTAAAACCTGTGAGAGGAATAGTCATTTATACAGATAGCCTTCCACTCACAGTCCAGACTTTGTGTGAGATTGAGTCAAATCTGATCGTCCTCTCTCCATGTTTCTCTCCAGATGGGCTTCTTCAAAAGGTCAGACCCGTACGGCACCACCATGGAGAAGGCCCAGCTCAAACCCCAGGCGTCCTCTGAAGCCTAGATCCGAGCCGGAGCCTCCCCCGCAGCTGCTCCAAAGAACTGGAATCATCGTCTCTTTTCCCAAACAAATAAGGAAACGTGCTAATGGAAAAAAAAGCCTGCAACCCATTTATGAAGGGACAGCTACGGGTGCTGTATCACTGGACCTGCACTAAAATGCCTAAGCAGGAAAGACCACAACGGTCGTGCGGTTGAATATGCACTGCTGTTTCGAACATGACGGCGACGAGGGTTCACCCGTCAAGAAGCTCATCTCTGCTGACCCTGAAAGGATTAGAACTTCATAGCCCATATCAGTACAGGAAAAGAAATGCACCTCCAACAAAAAGGCACTCATGCTACCGTATTTCTCCATTCCTAAAAGGTGCGTTCAGGCCATGTTTGCAATCCCAGCGTTCAATATGCCTTTGTGTGATTTATACACCACTCTTTATTTATGGCACAGTGCTTTTCCTATTGGTTGTTGAATGTTGTGCTGTAACTGTCTGCAGGACAATCCTGACGAAACTGCAACGCTTAACTTGAACTATTCCTCTCCCACATTGGGAGGTATTGTGTGTATGTCGTGTTGTATGTAACGTGTTCATTGGTGTTGTGACCCAGAATAAAAGCATCGTTTTGTATACCCACCAACAATGTTTCTCTGTGCTACTTGTGAAAGTTTTGGAGATGAAAAGTGTAATAACCACAGATCATAGTCATTGTAGTCTGGAACAAACACCCCTGATGTTCTTTTTCATCTCAGGTTTTGAGATGACAGATAATGTTTTTTTGCATTTTATATTTAACTGTTTATCGGTTCTCCATCGTTGGTAATCCAAAACAACTGCATTGCTCTACTCTACATTTCCTCCCTCTGCAGGTGGTATATGTTACTACCAGTATACATCAGCTTGTCTTCTGATGCCTTTAAGTGCTATCACAAAAGTTAGTATTTTACAGTCTTTCCACAATTGTTAACACACGTTTTCTGAGTCTTTGGCCCATTTAGTCAAAACTCTAAACACAAAACTCAGCAAATCTCAGTATTCCTGACTAAATACAAAGAGACACAAAACAACTCAAAAGAGCCACAGAACAATAACCAACAAGGCTAAACAATTATTCAAATCTCTGTGTCTTAGTGGGGCCTTTTGCATGTCTGTGTCCAGGGGCACTGAAGGCAGTTGGTGATGCATGGTATGTGAATACAACACACTTTCTTTGTGTTTTTCTCCAGAAAGAAAACAGGAAGCCGGGTTCTCATACATGCTGATACTGATATTTAGCGTGGGGTGGGTTTCTGTGCTCTTGTGCTGCCTGTAAATCTTCCTTTCACCTCCTGTATGAGTTCATTTAGTGAACTCTATCTTAGTGTAATTACTGTGGCCGGTTAGTTAGTTGTCACTGCTTGAACCTGCCATGTTAAAAAGGCCAACACCACCTGTTATATTCCTTAAGTCCTCCAATAAACAGCATAACCACTGACCTGCTGGAAAAGAGTTGCAGAGCATCCAGACAGCAGCAGCAGCAGACTGGACAGCTCACTTTACGCCAACCTATCAGGTTTGCAGATATAAAGGTATAAATAATCATGTTAGGTATGCAGCTGCTCTCACGAGGTGCACAATCAGCTTCAGGTTCAACTCTTCTTCTTTTAATTCAGCTCCCAGATTGTGATCCTCTCTCTGCCATCGTTTGTTCTGCTAGAACCTCAGGTGGTGGAAAACTGCTACGACACCTTCCTTAATAACTTGCATGTTTTTGAATGCAGGGGAAGACTTGGGACTGAATGTCAACTGTGTTATATTCTCGCAGAGAGACACCTCGTGGTTTTTAGGAGACATGTATAAAGCACATTCAGTCATGGACACATTGACCTGTTGAGGAAAAGTTAAATGCTGGGGGCTGAAGCCCCCCTAAAATGTTCTTCAGCCCCCCCAAATAATTTGGCATTATTGGATTTAAAAAAAAAAAAAAAATGTTTTCTTTTTTTGGTGATGTCGTTAAATTAAACTATTGTTTCTCAAATTGACAAGTTATTTATAACTCTAACATGCTACATATGTGCGTGCGTTCTGGTTTGTATGTTTTCTCCCCCTTCAAATTACAATCCACTAGCCTATCATCATACTTAACGATGTAAAGTTGACACTGTCAGGTCCATTCTCCATCCATTGTGTGCGGTCCCTTTAAGAATTAGGATTTGGGAGTGACGCGGATATGAAAGCTAGTTTATCCGTCTTTCCTTTACAAGCAGGAAAATTATTTCTCTCTTTATTTGAGAAAAGTTCATATTTGTGTTGTCAAATTTCACTATGACCCTGAAATTCTGTCTCTTGTGTTATCCTATACTGAATGCAAGTAAAACTATAGAGCAAAATCACACTCTTTCTGATTGAACCAATCTATGAACTGTCTGAAACAATGGATATCGGCGGCCCAAAACAGGCCCCAAAAAAATTGCGCAAACATGCCACTCCCCCTGGGGCTATGCCCCCCCTTTCTTTCAATCCTAGAAACGCCCCTGCTGCAGCAGTAAAGCAGGCGCTGCACCGGACCGTCTTGGTGAAGAGGGAGCTGAGCCGGAAGGCAAAGCTCTCAATTTACCACTCGGTCTACGTTCCTACCCTCACCTATGGTCACAAAATCTGGGTCGTGACCGAAAGGACAAGGTCGCGGCTACAAGCAGCCGAAATGAGCTTCCTCCGTGGTGGCCGGGCTCAGCCTTAGAGATAGGGCAGGGGTCTCAAACTCCCGGCCCGCACGTCATTTTATCGCCCGCACGTCATTTTATCGCCCGCACGTCATTTTACAATATTTTTACACTTGAATAAACAATAATCAAATGCAGAGAGTTATTTCACAATATGTTACGAGTAGTTACATTTACAACCGGCCCTTTGTGGGCGACCATGATGCTGATGTGGCCCGGAGTGAAAATGAGCTGGAGCTCGGTCATCAGGAGGGAGCTTGGAGTCGAGGCGCTACTCCTTCGTGTCGAAAGGAGTCAGCTGAGGTGGTTCGGGCATCTAATTAGGATGCCTCCTGGACGCCTCCCACTGGAGGTTTTCCAGGCACGTCCAACTGGGAAGAGACCCCGGGGAAGACCCAGAACACGCTGGAGGGATTACATCTCCCAGCTGGCCTGGGAATGCCTCGGGATCCCCCAGAATGAGCTGGAACATGTTGCCGGTGAGAGGGAAGTCTGGGTCGGCCTGCTTGACCTGCCGCCACCGCGACCCGACCCCGGATAAGCGGAGGAAAATGGATGGATGGATAGTCTTTCTGATAAATGAGTTGATACAAATTATTTATTGGTTAAAATGCTGATGTTTCTTAATGTAAATTAATAAATAATCATGTCTGCACTTAGAAATGTTAGTAGTCTTTAATAAACCGTCGACACAGTCTCAGCTGCAGCAGAAAGGACTGAGAGGCAGAGAGAGCTGGAGGTGAGTCGACTAAACATCCAGCAGAGAATCCAGGACAGAGAGAAAGACATGAAGCTGCTTCAGCAGGAGGTGGAGGCCGTCAATCGCTCTGCCGACGAAGCGGTGAAGGACAGCGAGAAGATCTTCACCGAGCTGATCCGTCTCATGGAGAAAAGAAGCTCCGATGTGAAGCAGCAGGTCAGATCCCAGCAGAAAAGTGAAGTGAGTCGAGTCAAAGAGCTTCAGGAGAAGCTGGAGCAGGAGATCTCTGAGCTGAAGAGGAAAGACGCTGAGCTGAAGCTGCTCTCACACACAGAGGATCACAACCAGTTTCTACACAACTACCCCTCACTGTCACCACTCAGAGAACCTACAGACTCGTCCGGCATCGATATCCGTCCTCTGAGCTACTTTGAGGACGTGACGGCGGCTGTGTCAGAAGTCAGAGATAAACTACAGGACGTTCTGAGAGAGAAGTGGACAAACGTCTCACTGGCAGTGACTGAAGTGGACGTTTTACTGTCTCCTTCACAAGCAGAGCCCAAGACCAGAGCTGAGTTCTTAAGATATTCAAGTGAAATCACACTGGATCCAAACACAGCACACATGCTGCTGTTATTATCTGAGGGGAACAGAAAAGCAACAGTTACGAATGAACATCAGTCTTATTCTAGTCACCCAGACAGATTCACTTCATGTTGTCAGGTCCTGAGTAGAGAGAGTCTGACTGGACGTTGTTACTGGGAGGTGGAGTGGAGAGGAGGAGTTTATGTAGCAGTCGCATACAAGAATATCAGCAGAACAGGGAACTATTATGAATGTGTGTTTGGATCTAATGACAAATCTTGGGCGTTACATTGTAACAAAAACAGTTTTATATTTTGGTCCAACAATATCAAAACTCCCGTCTCAGGTCCTCAGTCCTCCAGAGTAGGAGTGTACCTGGATCACAGAGCAGGTATTCTGTCTTTCTACAGCGTCTCTGAAACCATGACTCTCCTCCACAGAGTCCAGACCACATTCACTCAGCCTCTCTATGCTGGACTTTGGTTTTATCGTCATGGAGACACTGCTGAGTTCTGTAAACTAAAATAGACAGAAGTGATTTATGGAACAGCAAATTAATTTCTGTTAAACTCATTTTGTGTCCATTTTTGCTGAGACCTGATTCTTTTCACCTGTCAATCAAACATTGAGGGCGGTACTTTGACATCTTGTCATTATTGTTGTGTACATGTTTGAGTTTCTTTAGGTGGAGCTCCTTCCTGTGTCTGTTAAACCATGGAGGCTATCACTGCTCATGATGATCTTTGTTGACCTGAACTGACATTTCTCTGCAGGAAAATGTAAACTTCTCTGAGGTCTAAATGTTTGTTGAAAATGTGTATTGATGAATTTGTTTGTTGTTGTTTCTCTTCCACTGCATGTGTCTTAAAGAGAGAAATCACCAGAGCTTCTTTTATCCAAGATATTTTGTTCTCACCACTTTCTGTAAAGATATCTTTCATTAAATTTACATTTATTTGTTTCAAAGACTAAATGTTGCTGTTGTCTGAATTGATGTGTCATACTGATGGATGTGAACACATTGAAGGTTTACATGATAAAGAAAGTAATCTTGTTTCAAGAAGATAAAAGACTCTGATCTTGTTGTAAGAACAATCAGTCTATTGAGAAGGAAACTCGTCTCTTTTTTTTAAGATCCAATGATTTTATATTAAAGTCTCTTTCAATTATTTTACAACGTGTAGTTGTCTTAAAGGAAGACCTTCTTTCAGTGGTCTAGGATTCAAACTGCCTGCAGTCATCAGAGTGTTCCTGTCAGTGGGTTTAGTGGGAATACTTGTTTGTAGCTTTTCTAACTCACCACTGAACTCAAGACAAATATCATTCCAGATCAGCTCCAAACTGCCTCATGAGGAGCAGAATGAATCCACATCTCTGGTTACTAGTAAATCCTTCTCATCAGCAATGAGAGCTCTGCTCTTCAGCAGCATGTCAGTGTGTCTTGTATGTAGGAGGGCAAAGCGTTCAGCAGCTTCTTCATGTGTGAGTCCACAAACATGTGAGACTTGAGATGAATCCTCACATGTTAAGTTCAACTGTTACTATTTAGTTTGGACACAACTTGTTGTATTTTATATTTCAACCACAAGATGGCGCCATGATATTTAAAGCACACACAGGTGACACGTTAATGCAGGTGATACATGTCATTCTATTATAGGATGCCTTGTCAACATGTTTGTAACTTAGGCTTCTTGCTCGGCCCTGAAGAAGACACTTGTGGAAACGTTGGGCTTTTGATTCAGCACAATGTTGTTGAAATAAATAGAGATTGATGAAGTGAACAAGTGTGTGTGTGTGTGTGTGTGTGTGTGTGTGTGTGTGTGTGTGTCCAGCAGCACAAGTTTGATGAGGTTGAGCTGTTTCTTTGTTTGAAATTCATAATGCACAATATGCACATATGTGGATTTTTCCATGTGAAACCTTTTGATCCACTGACGTTGAGTATATGAGTTGCAGTGTGAGTGTGTCCAGATCCGACAGTAAGTGGCCTCGTAAACATGAGACACTGTTTAGAGTCTGCAGTCAAATATATCATTTTGATGACGATTCATCAGAATCAAAGCTGGTAATAAAGTGTTTGGATAAAACGATTTAATCATTGAAATTGAATAGATACAGAATAGAACACGAAGAGCGTAAATACAATAAATCTTTAAATACATTGAACCAGTTTCAAAATCTCCACAACTGGGACACTTTTATGAGTGCAAACAAGCCGAAGATAAAAGGTGGGAAAAGGATAAGTACGACAGTTCATCTAGCAGGAGATGAGCAGAGGGTTGACGCTGCTGGTTTTACACCCTGAAGATGAAACCAGGGGTTTCTCTCTGCTCTCTCCTCCTTCGTCATCCCCTCCGATCCCAAGGAGATCCCTGGAGGACAGCCGGACACAGAGGGCGTCAGCTACCTGCAAGACCTGAGACGGACCTGGGCGGGGAAAAGTACCACCAATCAATTTTAGTAAGGCGCAACACTAAACTATGACTACATGGACAACTGAGGGATGCAGAACACACCTACCGTCTCCACTCCTGCTGCACACATCCAGAGTGTCCATCACGATCTTCCCCAGGGCCCTGCGGGACACGTTCTGCAGACAGGGTGAGAGGCGTTTCACTTCAGTTTTGGATGTTTGTCTTTTTCATTTTATTGATAGACAGAAATGTACAACATGAAAAACCAACACATCCTCATACTTTAATGACAGAAAAGTTTGTCTGCCAATGACTCCCAGAGCGACATTTATGACTGGAGAGAATCAGTCGTACGTTTTAAACACGTGGTTAACGCCGTGAATTGAAAGGAAACCACTGCTTGGTTTTCTAAGTATGTTTGTTGCGTGACTTAGGTCACACACGTGACGTGGCGATACTTACATGAAGTAAAGTAAGTACGTTACATGAGTCAAAGTAAGTCAGGGCTGACTTTTGGTTTCACACGGGACACGAACACAGGTGTCCCGGGTGAAAGTCCCGTGTTGCTCTCTGTGTACTCTGTTGCTCTTTGTACTACATCACATGACTTCCTTTTTTGCCCCCATAATATATATCCCATAATATCTACGACCACTAGAGTTTGTCATCTAACAACAGATGTAAATGTGGTTCTTAATAAGCTACTTGCGGAGAGATTTTTTGGGGGAGGACGCTCTGTGAAAAACACATACCAAACAGTAAAAACACAAAAAACGACATAAAGTCCCAAATCCAGCCTATAGAGCTTGATATGAACATACATAACATACTGTATATTGTGAAGCTTAATACAGATCATTAGAGGGGAACAGTATGGAGCACAGTTTCACTGTATCCACTTAGCTTAAACACACTAATCTTTGTTTTGGTGTGTATCCTTCATCCTTCATCTCAGCAGCCCACTGACATCCAACTAGGATGGAATGAACACTAGATGGCAGTGAAGAGGTTTGTGTGTGTGTGTGTGTGTGTGTGCGTGTGTGTGTGTGTGTGTGTGTGTGTGTGTCTGAGGTGAAAGCGCGTGTCGTGTTAATAACCTTGTTGCGTAGCTGCAGCAGCAGTGTGAGGGCATCCGCGAGTTTGTCCTCCAGCATCGACAGACGCGTCTTCGTCTTGTCCTCCTCTTCCTCGGGCCTCTGGGAAACAGTGAGGAGGAACACATGAATGCAAACAAGCTCCTAAACTGTGTCCACAGTATCAGCAGTCAGAGGAGTAACCAGTTCCTAAAACCCCCAGCAAAGTTACGTTTCTGGGGCACTGAGCGCTTTCACACACAGGGAGATAGCTGGCCATGTTTCATGACACAGACATATGAACTAATAATCTGTCCTTGTAGGAGGAGCAACTTCAAATACAAGGGGATGGGAGCTTCAGCTCAACATACATTTCTCTATCTGGATGCAGAACCACGATGATGGTGGGTTGATTAACCTTTGAGGTTGAAGGCAAAGAGACAGACTCAAGTTATTAGCCAGGGCATCTTCTGCATCTTCCTTCTCTTTGACTCCTCGAGGTCATCCAGCTTATTAATGAAGCAGCTTTATTAGTGGCAATGATGGGACTAGCATCGCTCTGTTCATCCTTCAGTGATTCAGTGTTGCTATTTGTCTTTCCTTACATTTGGCCAATACCCAGACTTGTCCACAGTTTAAAAGGAAACTTCTGTATTTTTCAACATGGACCATATTTTCCCATAGTCTTTCATCTAAGTGACTAATGGCGACAACAGTTTTTTTTTAATTGGCCGTATTGGGGAAGAAAGCTAAACTTATACATATTAAGACTCCAGAGCTTTACAACTGTTTGCGACTCAGTCTGCACTCCAGGTTCCTCTCTCCCACCTTTTCTTTTTCCAAGCATGTGCTCCCCTCTGGCTGCTCTTGGCTTTGTCCCATCCAGCTGCAGCGCCCCCTGCTGATGAGGTTTCTATCGTGCAGGCAACTCTGAGAGACAACTTGATGGACCGCGTGGTTCTGACATCTGGAGGAATAAGCGAAAACAAAGTGACATTTGCAATTGGAGGAGCGTGTCCACAGTGGCGGCAGCGTGTCAGGTGTTGGCTAACCCTTTGCCCCAGACGTGCGGTCGGTGCTTCTTCACCTCCAACGGGCGGCACTGTCCTTCCTCCCTCGTCCCTCTGTCCTCCTCCTCTTCATCGGAGGCAGCTCTCCCCTCCACCGCTCTCTGCAGACACTCTGTAGAAGCTGTTACTTTACTATTTATATCTAATGTTCTGTTGTTGGTTTTTTTACACTTATTTCACACTTATTTGTTACACGTGTGCTTTTGCTGCTATGACAAGTCCAAAATATCCACCATGGGAAAAAGGTCTAATGCAAAGCCTTAAATACATCAACAGCAACGATTCTAAAAATCTTGTTGGCCAACAGATGGGCCACAAGAGGTCATTCACCTGTCTTGCTGCAGGCGTCTGCTGCTCCGATTGGGTACATTTCCTGATGGGTGGGGTCGTGGATGCAGGTGCAGCGGGATCTGAGGGTGGCAACCAAAAGAGAGAACATAACTCGTTTGTGCTTTGGCATGTGTGTTTATGTTTTAACCTGGTGTGTGCGTGGTGTTTGTTGAAAGTTAACCCCATCTGCTTTTCACCCGAAACTCTCATTCAGTGTGACTTGTGTGTAACTTAAGCTGCTGGCTTTAATGCAGGGAATTTCAAATCAGTAGAGCGCAGAGGCAAATGATGTGTAAATAGATGCACACACATGCCCGTGCACACACACAGTGTTAGTACCTGTACTGGTGTAGCTCAGCCTCCAGTCGGGTGACCCTGGCCTGGAGCTGCGGCACAGACTGAGCCTGCTCCTGGATCGTCCGAACCCTCTGAAGCCCCAAACTCAGAGCCTCCCTGGCCTCCTCCGCCCGCCTCCTGATGGAGAGATCATCCCAGATCATCAAAGCCCTTCCTCTAACCTCCATCCACTCGAAACATCATCCAGTTAACTTCACTTTAAAGACCAAAACCTGATGTGAGCGTTCTCCTTCCTCAGCGCCGACTCCGCCCCGTGAAGCTTGCGCACCTCCTGGTACGCCCAGCGCAGCTCCTCCTCCAGGCGCTCGTTGAACTTCATGGCCTCCTCTAGCTGCCCGTCGCGCGAGGCTCGGATCAGCTTCAGCTCCCTCTCGAGGGGGTCCCGGATGTCCCGTCTCCTCGCCGCCCTCCTCGCCGTGTCTCCTCCGGCGCCACTGCAGTATCCTTTAATCCTGCGCGTCGGCACCAGTTTCCCCTGGTCGAGGGTGATGGAGGTTGTCGGGGTTGAAGCTGCGGTTTTAAAGCTGGTGGGGGGAGGGAGTGTGCGGCTCCCCTCCCGCCGGAGGGCCACCTCCAGGGCCAGGCAGCGAGCGTCGCTCCCCTGCAGCGCCGAGCGGAGGTCCTCCACCAGCTCCCTTAGAGCTGCTACCTCATCTGGAGGAGAAGAAGAAGAAGAAGAAGAAGAAGAGAAAGACAAAAAAGATGAAGAAGACGACAAAAAGGAAGAAGAAGAGGAAGAAGAAGAAGAAAAGGAAGAAGACAGCAAAGAAAAAGAAGACACAAAAGATAACAATCATATCACTTTTCACACTTTCTGTGCTGCTTTTTTCAAGTACTGTACCACCGTATGTTGTAGGTATTTATACTTTACCTGAGTATTTTAACTTTATTCAACTATATACTTTTAACACACTATATCTTAGAGGGAATATTAAATCAATCAATAATAATTTATATAATAATTGAATCATATGTGCAATAATGTGTTTTCAACCACTCAATCTGATTATATTGTATTTTTAGCTTTTGTTGTTTACTTATTTATTCTACCTTTACTGTGTCAGTATTTATTGTACTTTTGTTTTTGTTTTGTTTTGTCCTCTACTGTCCACTTTGCGGCTGAAATCCTGCAAATGTCCCCGCTGTGGGACTAATAAAGGATTATCTTACTTTAATAATCCAATACTGAAATATAATATGGAATACTTTAGTAAAACTATTTGTCTGCACTCCCGTATGTATACATACCTTTACTGAAGTGATGTGTTTAAATGCAGGACGTGTTCTGGTCAGTGTGGTATTGCTACTTTTTCTTATGTAAAGGATCTGAATACATTCTCATTGCTATTTTGGGAGAATGTAAAACTATGGTGGAAATGAACTAAGTGCAAGTGCTCAATGTGCTTGGGTAATTCTGAGGCACTTGTACTTTACTTGGATATTTCCATCTTTATACTTCTACACCACATTTCAGAGGAAAGTATCACACTTTCTACTCCACTAAATGTATCTGGCAGCTTGGTTACTTCACAAGTTCACCACATCAAAAAATATAGAAGATTATAAAATCAAATGTTCAAGATGAAATCCATGGCTCCCTTTTTTCGGCCTCTGACCTCCTCATGTAAAAGCAGGTGTTTCTCCTCCTCATGTTTCAGATGTCCTTGAGTTGTCAGCAGTTACCAAAAAGTGAATCCCCCTCTGAACCTCACAGATAGTTCCATTTCATTCCAGCTCCACCTTGAGCAGTTAATGCAGTCAAAATGCTGCTCACACATTGACATCATATATAACAACATGTCAGTCCCAGCTGGGGACCCTTTTCACATTGTTGTATTGGGACATTTGCTTAAGAAAAGGGGAACTGCCTCCACTCACAGAAGGAGAGAACAGATGGTGGAGGTGAAGAATATCACAGTAAACAAAGTGGGAAAGGTTACAAAATAAGTTTAGGTAACTGGTGCTATTATAAATAATGAATAAATAAATGATGTGTGTTTTATATGAGTCGTCTTTGAGTCATTTCCCATTAACTGCAATAATCTTAAATATATGTGCAACAATTGAAGTTTAGGAACCCCTCAATATTCACTGGAGGCCTTTTAATGTAGTAACATGTGCAATATACAGACATCCAGGCTGGTGCGGTACCTGACTCGCGGTCCTCTGCGGTTCGACCTTTAGTCGATCGGTGAACCGGTCCGTTCTGATCCCTCGCCAGATCAAAACTCACACATTTTCTCCGCCTGACGCGCGGCCACCGGAGCCGGATCTGTCTCTCCACCAGCTCCGTGTCCTCGGTGACGGGCAGGCGCCCGGCGCACTCCCCGGTGCCTCTGCCGCGCGCGCTGCGCACACGGAAATACCCACAGAGGCGCGAGTGGAAGTCTTTAAAGGAGAGCCGGCAGGGTAGCGCGGAGCACGCATCCCCAAACTCCTCGTCTTCCTCGCTCTTTTCTCTATCTCCGGCTCCCCATTTCGTCGTCCTGCTTTCTTTCTCCGCGGCGGCGAGTCCCAGCACGGAGCACAGCGCGGTGAAGTCCTCCGCCGACACCGCGTCGTCCCGGCTGGAGTGGGCCAGGTGGTGGAAGACCTCCTGCAGGTATTGGTCCATCCCGGTGGCCAGGATTACGATCTCGTTATCCGCGCCAGGATCGGGGCAGTGGTGATGTGCCAGCGCGCTCCGGAGCCACTCGCTTTTACGCGCTGCCCGCGGCGAGGGCTGTACGCGCTGCGGGACCAAAGCGATGTGCTCCATGACTGCACGTAAATCGATTCAAGTTTTGCCTCTGGATCTCACCGCATGGAAATCGTAATCACGGGAAATAGCATCGAATATGATTGTAGTCCAGAATTAGGATTTGTTTTTAAAACAGCCCTGAAGTGGGTTTGACGCTGCGCGATTGCCTGGAAACTTCACCTTGGATTCCTTCCCGGTGCATCCAGTCAAGATCTAATCCCCTCCAGTGAGGAAAAAAAAAGTCCCACTGAACCGACTCCACCCTTTTGTGTGCACACTCTGACCGCGCATGTGTGACAGACTGTACCAGTAAGGTGCGTTTCGACGCTTACAGTATGCAAGAAAATACAAACAATTGTGCTGCTGTGGTTGTTTGTTCACAAAAAAAGTGGCTCTCATATCAAGTATTGCCCAAAATACTTTGCAAGACGCATCTATAGCTCACAGTGTTCCTCCGCGGGGAGCACTGAGCGTCCTATATCTGATACATGATCAGATTTATACATGCATGGCACACAAGAGAGCTTTGGAGGTAAATGATATCATTTGCAGAGCCTTGAGGCATTTTGTGGCTCTTGTCATCCGCGGGGACACAAACGATGGGTGAGTCACGGTGGGTTTCACTTTACACCTTTCACCAGAATGAATCTAGAGTGGATCTTGACTCACAGCAACAACGTCTCCTGATAGTCTTCACCTTTTGTTCTCACTAACGTCACGCGGACCTTCACGTGGAAGTCAAAGGAATTTGTTTCCAGGGAGACAGAGCGGCAGGAAATACCTTTCCCCTCCCCTGACCGCCGCTTGTCTCCTCTCACCTGACAGCCATAACAAAGAGAGCGTCTTGGTTACACTCACCTGTGACGAGGCCATACCACACACATTACGCACCAATAACACTCCGCTGCTGCCACCCTGACCGCAGCATTTCACAGAATTCCAGCACATCAGAATTAGTGCCAAAAAACAATTTGGCACTAATTAAGGTATGAAAATGTGTCATAAAATACAATGATGTCAAATCGAAAAACATAAACGAAAAATGATATGAAAAATAAAGTAATTTTACAATTTTCACAATGAATAAAACAAAGCACCATAAGCAAAAAAAGTAAAATATGGCAGTAGAAATTGACTAAAATTACATGATATATAAAGACGTCCAATGAAAAATCAAAGATAACTTCACAGATAATATTTAAACAATGGAATATTTAAAAAAAATTGATCAAATAAAATGTAAAGTAAAATAGCATGCACTCGACACAATGAAATGGAATACATAAAATAAAATTGATTCAATTAAAGGAAATTAAATCAATAAGACATTCAAATCTTTTGGCAAACATTCGTTTTAATGAGTTTTTGACAGACTATGTTTTGACTTTTTAAATCACTTTTTTCAACACACTAATCTATGACTTTTTTTCGACATACTATACTAAAACCTTTTGTTACACTTTTTTAGACATAATATTAGTACTTTTTATGACTCTTTACGGCATACTATACTATGACTTCTGTAACATACTATACTATGACTCTTTTAACATACTTTGCTATGTGTTTTTTAATGACTTTTTTCGACATACCGAACAATGAATGTTTGTTCATGTTTTATTGGACCCCATTCTCCATTCTTTCGAACTCTCTTTATGCTCATGTTCCCTATAACTAAAGTATTCACTGCTTAAATCTCAAGTCTTTTTTCCATAGCTTGATTTTAAGTAACTCCATCAACACACAGATTTTTCTAATTCCCAGGTGGGCCACACCACAGTTGCACAAAACTCTTTATCATACACTCCCATCTCTCCTGCCATTTGTTCTCTTTTCCTGTGTCCCCTCCTTCTCCCACCATGTCTGTGGACACATTCATCCCATGAGTTGTGGCAAATAACACAGAGAAAGACTGAAAACTATTTCAAAAATGTCTATTAAACCTGAAAAAGGGGTATCTTTTATCGTGGAGCGTCTATTTTAAACATTTTAAGAGGAGATACATTTTTAAATCTAGACTTTTTTAAACACTTTGTTACATATTCACTTGAAAATGTATTTTTAAGACATATTTTCCTTTACTGCACCAACTTTATTGTTTTTGTACAAAGTTTCATAATCAATCTGATGGCCTGAACTGTGCCGACATACCATCCTCTATTACCTTTGTTTTGAAAAGGTGTCTGTGTGAAATTTCCACCTATATGACATCTTTGTATTTAAAAGCCTCTGGACTCTAGTTATATAATAAATAATAATTTTGAAAATGAATAAAGCTGTCTACTGTCCATGGATGGAAATGTGTCTTGCAGACCAGAATCATGTCTTGAGTTAAAGACCATACGTTTTCAACTTTGCACATTATATTAATGTACTAACGATGTGGCTGGCAGATGAGTCATCTGAGGTCACATGAGCCCAGAGAGAGAAACCTGAGATATTGTTCAGTCTTTGTTTTGGTTTCCAGCACTCATCTGAATACGGCTGAACCGCAGCGCTCGCGGTGACTCATTGGGGGCTTTTCACCTTTGGAAAGGTGTGTGAGCATAGCGTTTATGTCTGTGCTACTTAAGGCCACTACCCAAAGACAAACAAATTGTCCTGAAGATACAAAAAAAAAAAGAGAGATACTGTGTCGCCTGTGGCCTGTTTCACAGACATGTGGAGGCAGGCAGAGCTTCGTTCAGGTCCTCTGGCTGGTGTCTCGGAAACTATGTTCTTCCTTCCCGGCTGCCGGGAGGAAATTTGTGAACACCGTCAAGGTGTGCACGACAGCCACAGATATTAGCGTCATTAAATGCATGTAGCTACTGGAAGATAATAGCTACTCCTCAGGTGGTGCTCATCATGCAGCAAATTTTGGGTATTTTTGATAGAAATCATATACAGTTTTGGGAAATCAAATGACTATTTTTGAACGACTGTAAATAGATTTTAGCCGAAGATTTGTCAAGTTGCAGAATGTGAGACCCTCCCTCTATCCTCACTGCTATTTCTTAGGAAATAAAGCTCTTGTTTCTCCATCAAGAAGCGTCCAGTAAGAGCACAGGGTTACATAAGTCACATAATAGGTGTTTTGATGAGGGTTAAAGCTCTCTTTATCTGTTCTGCCTATGTGTGTGTGTGTGTGTGTGTATGTGGGGGGGTAACAAGAAGTTAATGTGCAGCTCAGCATGAGTCCCTCTCATTCCTGCTGTCATGCTTCCTCCCTCTGAGAGTTCAGTCTTCCAGCTGCCGCCTGCTGCGGGTAAAAGGACCTGATCTGAAAATGAAAGGATGGGAAGCTGTAAATAAAGAGGGGGGGTTAGGGACTGGAGCTGTGTGTGTGTGTGTGTGTGTGTGTGTGTGTGTGTGTGTGTGTGCGCCCCCAAGTGTGTCCTGTTGTTCACCCCCATGAGAGGAGGAGTGAGGCGGTATCAGTATTGATAGGAGTTGGGTTAAGGCTTTGTGTTGGCTGCCATATGCTCCTCTTGAGGGTCAACAAAAAGACAAATACAGCCACACACTCCCAACACACACACACACACACAGCACATCTTTGAAGTGGTGACGCTGACCGATTTGCCTTGTCAGTCCACAGAGTCTTTGTCCCGGTTTAACCCCCTCAGGGATGTGAAGGTCTCTAAACGTGAGGTCACACACGTTGACCTATTCACCAGCTTTTGGTTTGCGCTCTTACTTTCTTAATTGATCTGCGACCATTTCCTGTCAAAGCCTTTCGGGGCTGAGCCACATGTCAAGGACAGGATGATGGTTGCATAGTATCACATGTGGCTCCAATGTAAAGTCAAAGCGCTACAGGTGGTGTACACCGTAAGTATCTGTCTGCCTTGTTTACTCACTGGCAACGCATTCCATACAATACGGGACGATGTTCAAATGAAAGCAGATTCAAACTGTTGATTAAAAAAGCAAAATGTAGCAAATGTATCAGAAGTGACAGAAATAGCCAAATCGTGCAGAAAACACGTCAAAATGAAAATGAGTCACTGCGAACAAGAGGAGAGTTTAGTTTTGCTGTGCGTTTAACTTTCTATTTCCAGTTTTGGGGATTTTCACACTTTCAGAACAGTTGACGAAAGATAAAAGTAGAAGAGAAAATAATAAAAAAGTACATATAGCCATTAGATAAATGAAGAGGGGGAACAACATACAATATTGTCCTCTGCATTGTAAGAAAAACAAACTTGAACCTGCAATTTACGGGCGGCAGAAACACGCAGATTATCATCTTCGACATCTAGCAGGTACAGAACGACATTAGCATTCATTTTTATGTCCACCTGACAAAGTAAAGTCCAATATTCACACTTCTTTTAGCTCTGTTTTTGGTCTCCACCAACTGAAATGCTCCACTAGTCTGAGCAGGTATAGTTTACTGTTTCTCACAGCTTTTTCCACTTCAAACAGCTGGCTGCTGCTGCCGCCGAAAACATCTCAAATGAGCGCAGAGATGGTGGAAAAAAGTAAGCTGCGGGCCGTAAAACCCGAACAATGAGTCAAAAGACGGTAACACGCTCGGTAGAGCTGAGGGGGAAACTGCAGAGTTGGTTAATAAGTTGATCACTATCAGCAACCCCTTTCACATACAAGTATGATCCATTGTTTAAGTAGCAGTATCTCAAAATGCAAAGTGGTACTTAAGTAGGCCTATGCGTGAGTAAATGTTCTTCCTTATTTTGAATCTCAGAGGCAGCTTTTTTTTCTAAGCTTATGGGGTTTACCAATTATGGGTTTGAAAGTTTAAGACAGTATACAACCAATGATGCTATACAGTGAAGATGTATAGCATCATTGAATTGAATCCGTCTGCCTGGTAGCAAGTTTTTAATTTTTTTCCTGGAAAGAGGCAAATGGTAGGAAATTTAAAAAAAATAGTACTTGTTGAATTGCTTTTTAGTTTAGTCTTGCTTCTTTACAATGTTTTGAACATGATGAAGGCCTAGCGACAGTATCAAGTGTAACCTTGATTTGACAACTGTCACTCTGGACAGTTGTCAAAGATGACAAGGAGAAAACAAAGGACATTACAGCAGACAAATAGTAAAAGGCTGACAAAGTCCATCAGTCCAGCACTAAAGCGTCCAGATGGTCAGACATCCTTGAATGGCCTCCCATTCACCCACTTTGTAGTAGATCATAAACTGAGCACATTG